CCTACACCTCGAAGCTTAAACCCAAGCCTGCATCTCCCAAAACACCGCCGTCCAGTGGAGGCACTTGCAGCGAGGATGCCTCACAGGCTGGGTTGCCAGAGACGGACACCCATCATGATCACACGTCGTCTTCCTGTGCATTGGTTGAGGCGGTGTGTGTGAGAGTGTGTGTGTGTGTGTGTGTGTCTGTGTGTGTGTGTGTTTGTGTGTGTGTGTGTTTTTTTTTTTTTGTGTGTGTGTGTGTGTGTGTCTGTGTCAGTGTCTCTGTGTGTGTGCATGCCAGTGCCTGTCCATCTGTGAGTGAGTCGTTCAGTGTCGTGACCTGTCTCCTTCCTTTGTTTGTTGGAGCATCTGTCGGTCTGCAGACTCTTCTATAGATATGTTCCAGGATGCCGCGGTGCGAATGAACATCAGATAAACGGCCTTGTGCGTCTACAGCAGTAGACGGCTTTTTGAGGTAGATGATGTTCGTGCAGGGATTAGATTGGAGTCGGATCATCGTGCTACGGGCCGTGTGTGACGGCACTGGGTAGCGGGTCCCAAAATCATGCAATGGTTTTAAGCAACAGCAGACAGGTACTTACCTCCCTGAGCAGTAATCGCAGCGCGTATGCACTAGGGAGGATGTCTGGCCACAGCACTCCGATGACAGGCCAAACCGCTCTGTGCCAGCGCAAGGCCCAAAAACCCAAAGAGTTTGACCCAAGCTTGGGAAGCAACCATTCGCACCGAACAGACACGGAAAACTAATATGTGTTTGTTATGTGATTATGTGCATATATTATTGCCTATTTGTACGTATCAGAATTGCCTGTCAATCTAGTTATATGAATCCACCCCCGCCCCACTCTCGTCCCCACCTGAAGCTTGGACCCTTTTCAATCCCCCAACCCGAAACTCGGAGCTTTTGAGCCCTCCAAAATCCCAGACGCTAGAGGGGTTTAGGGGTTTATATAGGGTTGGGTTTTAAAGGATGGGGTTAGGGCCTTATAGCATCTAGGGTTTGATCCCGGAAACCTTGAAGGTCGAACGGAAGCCTGCCCCGAAGCTGGGGACTCGAGATTCGGTGCTTTTCCTTTGTGTGCAGGGCGTTGCAGTCGAGAAGCTTGAAAAATCGGTACTGCGCTGTTACCCAAAGACCTGTCTTGTTTTTTGAGGCCTCGATGTTCTTCTGGGTCCTTGTCGGGCTTTTTCCACAGCCTTGTGGAGCTTTGTAAGGGGTGTTCTTGTTGGATTGATGCAGCTTTATGGCCGCTCTGAAGATTAGAGATGGTTGTAGGTTACATGCTTTGCACTGTCTTATGGGCATGCGCCCGTGAGGGAGTTTAAAGTAGGGTTGCAGGCTGGAAGACTGTATGCTCCAGGTTTGGGCCTTTCCAAGTCTAGTGTGCTGCATTGCCGGGCGCTTCGATTCATCACAAGTGCGTTTTTGGGCATAAGGAACGAGGGAGGGAGAGAGGGAGGGAGGGATAGCGGGGTCAAACCCCTACACCCTAGCCCTGGCGAAAGAAAGGGATAGCGAGATAGAGAGAGAGAGAGAGAGAGAGAGAGAGAGAGAGAGACAGACGGGCAGGCAAACATCAATGACGTGGAAGCACCGTGTGAACGTGTTCTTCCTTGTGACGTGTCCCAGTCAACATATGAACCCCTCAGAGAATCGCAACTATCGACCGTACTCAACTTCATAAGACCCCTCAACCAGTAGCATCCTTCTTGAATGTCGGGGCCACTATGTTAGGGGCCCCGAATTTTCAGAAGATAAGCTGCCTTGTAGCATGCCAGAGACCAGGTCCGCGGCTACCCTGCGTCCGGAGGTGCCGAGTTGGATAGTTTTTTCAAGGGATGAAGAGCCTGGGCGGGACATAGGGTTTCGGGAGTCATACTGTGTCTTAGAATTTAGGGTTCGGGTTAATTGGCGCCGATGTCGGGTGGCCGGTTCGAATCAGAGCCACAGCAACGGCCGTGGAGCTGACATACGAAGTGTGCACCGCCTGAAGGCTAGAGGTAGGCCACAGGAAGCGCATCTTCGGGTAGATAGTTTACAGGTTAGAGCTTGGGATTTACGGTTTGGCTTTGGTCGGAAGGTTTTTGACGCCACCCGGAAGAATTGCCAAGCATTGTCTGAGATCGTAAGGATGATCGTAGTAGAGAGGGAGTGGAGAATATGAGGATGAAGAGACGAAGGATCTACGCATAGCGCCGGGTCAGATCAACGAGATTTGACGAGCACTGGGAAGAGAGAAGGGTACAAGTACGGCTGTGACTTTCGGGGCGGTTATTCAAAGAGATTTACTACCGGAATGCCTTGAACCATCCAAGAAAATTGAGCACATGATCTTTCCAGAATTTCAAGGTGATTTTGCGTATGGGCTCTGGCTTTGTCTAGTCATCCTTTGGGCACGGCTGCGACGTATGGACCCTGGACACCGTCGGCCTTTTGACAGTTTTCCCATTTTCCAGGGTTCGAAGCCATTGGCCTCGCACAGTCTGACTTGACACATCCATCCCCTTGCCAGGATTTCGGCTTTCGGGACAGCTGGTCAGGGCGGCTTGCGCCCCTCGGCGAGCACCAATTTAGGCTTGAAAGCTGTCGTATGTTCCAGGACCACCTGTGACTTCATAGACTTGGGCTCCGTATCGGGTGTGTTACAAGCGCTTGGAGGGGAAAGTCAGAGCTTGCGTTAGGTTCGTATATGTGTACACTTGGGGGGCGGTGGCATTGGGGGCGTCGCCAAGGAAGAACGAGCGTTTCCAGCACACCACGCTGATGGTGATCGTCGTGAATGCCCTGTGGACCGACCAACGGGTTCAGGGCACAGGATCCAGTGTGAGAGCATGCGGGTGCTAGAACAGGACCACAGGAGGATCATGATTCCTTCAGCATGATGAGACATGGACATGTAGGTGCACTGATCAAAACCACTGTAACGGTGATAAGTATGAGACAACCACAGTTACAATCCTAATAATTCATGAACTCCATGAACCCACCCGCACATGGACAGCGACACGCTTGCAAGTGCCGAATCCCTGCCGTCATCATGCAGCATGATATCCCAACTGGCTGCATTCCAGATTGCGACATCTGCGTGATAGTGTTCATTTCGCAGCGCTCTTGCATGTTCATGTGCGTAGTGCTTAGCTGTCAGCACCCCTCTTGTTTGAAGGAATCCTACCTACCTCCAAAACGCTGAAGCTTGAGCTGTAAGCTTTCTTCAATCACATTGTCGCTTCGTGCACGGACAGGTTGTGTCTTCCGAACTCCCAGTCTTCCCTGAGCCAAAACTAATGGCAAGAACAATGGTATTGACACTAGTATGGTACTAACCATGTCTAAGGATAACTATTCGTAAGAATCAATAGTCTTGACAACTGACATGAGGCAACGAACCGAAGCCATCCGCGAGGATTTTCATCGACGTGCAGTGGAACCACTCCAATCTCCGAAACGAGGCAGACGGGAGGCCTTGCGGCTGCAAAGAACTCCGGTTTTGTGTGAACTTTTCATCTTTCAATCTACCCTACAAAAGGAAGGCCAGGTGCAGTCGATGCGCGCAGGGGTCAAGTCGCGTGTTGGGGGAGGTTGCAGTTCGTACAGGAGTCACTCGGTGGATGTCGTGACCATCGCTCGTCATATTGTTTCCGGCCGGTGTGGGTCCAGAACTTGCCGGAATCTCACACATACACACGCGCATACAAACAATGTGAATGCTAAAATGCTAAAACCCAGCTTCTCTTCACAGGCATGCATAACTCCTCTATCTGTGGAGTGTTCCGAAGCTGCAACGGCGAGGGTTACAATTTAGGATTGACGGCCCGAAAGCCTGAACGCGCAACCCAGGACTGCAAGACTTAAATCATGTGTGTCAGCAGAGGCTTCCTCTCGAGCCTTACAGCATCGTCGTCGAAAACATGTTCTGCGCTTTCTTCACTGCAGAGGCCTTGCACGTGAAGAAGAGTCCGGGTTAGGGTTCACGGGCAGGAGTACACTCGAATCCTAGATGGTCTGTTCCAGGATGTGGCGGCTGGGGGAATGTCTTCAGGCAGTGGCTTTCCCTTCAATCCCACAATAAACAAAGATCAGTGCCCGCTATCAACGACATGAAGCCGAAGAGTTCGGGACGGGTTTGTACTTCTTGCGCGGTGTTGCCTCATTTACTGAACCGCTGAATCAACCGTATCATCCAAATCATCAAGCCTAAGTTCCCCCATCCGCATGGGCACACCGACCGTTCCGCTGCCTGCCGTGGATCGTTGCTCATGGCAGGGGTTTGGCTGCGGCGGTGCTTTGGGGGTTCGGATCTCTTGGGCCTGAACGGCCCTGCTGTGTACATGTCTGCTGCCAAAACCCCTGCCCACAGGTCTGCATGAGCAGTTGAGGATTGGGATGTTTGCCTTGGGGTTTGGTGGGCTAGGCCAAGGCAGACACGTAACCCTCGTTGGTCACTGCAGCCTTGCATGTCCTGTGCTTGCAGCTTATTTGCCAGGTGGCGTGTGTGTGTGTGTGTGTGTGTGTGTGTGTGTGTGTGTGTGTGTGTGTGTGTGTGTGTTCCGGTGCATCCTTCAGGTCAAGCTGCTGAAATTTTGCCCGCCCGCCCGCCCCGATGGGTGGCATGGAGCGCCAGTATGGTGTGCGCCCATCGGCGTTTGTTCCCCGCGAAGGGGGGGTTTCGGATCTCTTGGGCATGGACGGCCCTGCTGTGCACATGTCTGCTGCCCACATGTCTGCATGAGCAGTTGAGGGTTACCGGTGCAGGTAGGGTCTTGCTTTTAGGTTCCTTTGAAGTTGCATACCATATGAGACTTTTTGTGGAAGCCAGCTCGGGAAAGAGCAATTCTGTTAAGTTTGCGTGTTCATTGCAGCATATTCCATTTGTTGTATAATTTGTTGTATAATCACATATAATCATCACATCTTGCACTTCAGACTTGCATCTTAGTGATGAAATGATGAAGCTGAGACAAGCAGTGTGCTTTCCTTCCTCTCAGCCATATCAACCATGGCCTTTCCGAAGGCTGCACGATTCGTACCAGAGCAGGTGCTGCAGGTCCCTGGACCAGGGGCGTACCTGGTACCGAGGCTGCTTGATGCAGTTGATGCAATGAGACCTCGCATCAGGAAGGCAAGGCGGAAAAGCACAAAGCAGGACTGCGTGACCCATGTAACCCAGTCCCTGCTTGGACGTCCGCCCATGACAATGCCAGCAGACAAAGAGTTTGAGGAGGGTAAGGAAGAAACAGAAGCCGAGATACCGGGAGAGTTGGAAGCGCTCGTAATGAGGGACTGGCTTTCGGTGGCCCAGATGGAGCCCAGCGGGCACGTGGGATCGGGTGCTATTGGAGAGATTTTCAGGGCCAGGCTCCGGCAGACGGGGCAAACCATCATTTTAAAGAAAAAGAAACTAAGGAGCGACGTTGCCAAAGATTTCCTACAAGAAGCCGTTTTTATGCACGCTAGCCAGCACCCCAACATCGCGCGAGTTTTGTTTGTGGCAACATGGCCTTCCGTTGTCATCGGACTGGAAGACCTTGGCCCATCGCTAGCTCAGACGCAAAGTAGCATCGAGCCCCAGGGCTTCACGCAAGCCTTCACCAATGTGGCTCGCGCCGTCGCCTTTTTGCACTGCTTCGTGGCCCATCGTGACTTGAAGCCTCATAACATCCTGCACATTGAATCGGTGTGCAGAAACTGGGAAATGAAACTTATTGATTTCGACGCAGCTGAAGATCTTCGCCGAGGGTCCAAGCACATGCCTGGGAGCGTTGGCACCTATGCTCCACTCTTCTGTAGTGGCTGGACCCGTGTGGAGTTGGACGTGTATGCCGTTGGAGTGAAAATTTCAGGTATCGTTGATGCTCATTTGCTTGATGAAGCCGAGTCGCGAGCGGCTAGCACCGTCAAGAACTTGACATCAAAGACAGACACCGAGGCTTTGGTCCAAGCTTTGAAGCGTTTCTTCACTGAGTGGCTATGGCAGCCCGGTATGCCAGCGCAACGGATGTCAGACATGCAGAACGAACAGTGTATTTTGCAGCCTGATGAGACGTGGAGAGTTTGAAAAGAGCTTGCAAAGGAGTGCGAAAAGAGTTTGATTTCCAGAAGAACCCAGCACTGAGAGAAGTGGACTTGTGAATCCCGGGACCAGATGTGGGCCCGAGATTTCACAGTTTGCCTGAAAGAACTTTACGTTGAAGCTGCTGTTTTCAGGCCTCAGTAAAAGCTAAGCCCAAGTCCCTAAGCCCCCCGTGTTTACATAAAGAACTTTGTGAATGGGCCAAGAGCTGGCATGTAAGTTTACCACTTTACACCCAAATTCCGAGATCTCAGGATGCTTCTATGAAGTCCTAGACATTTGTGGGGTTTATGGGGTTGCATGGGGATTCTCCTAGCATTGAGGGATCCGTTTGTGGTGGGGTCCCTGGAAAAGGATCCTTACTCCGATTCTGCTTCCTTTGCTTCCTGCAGAGACCTGGTGCCATGCTTTTCGACCGAGTAAACCCTTGTGAGCTCAAAGGACCTTGCACTTCTGAACCAGTATTGTTGGACTGCGCCAGCTCGTTCGGACGAGAACATCTCCCTGTGATAGAATGTGATAGACGGTTGGAGCATACGTAGGTGAGAGCCACATCAAGTTGCCACACGGTCTGTAATGCTATAAATCGTCGAGCGAGACTGCACTTGAGCCTGACATGGTCTAGTCCAACAGAGCTTTAAAGTTTAGCTCTCCCCCAATCTGTGTTCAAAGCAGTCAGGATAGTGAGGCATGAGTTCATGGGTGTGAACCGAACTTGCAGGTGCTCATCCGCTTCTGCGCTTTCCGCAGCTACGGCTATTGTATGGTGGATGCTTGGCTCGCCCGGACACCGCTTGAAGCTCTGCGTTGAGCTTGGGCTTCGGATTTCGAGATGACCAGGTTTGTTCGGCAGGGGACTACAGATGCAAGCATCACCTCAGTCGTCGGTGCCGGTGGAGTTGAAAAGAACCCGTGACATATTGCAAGAGCCACCGGCCGAGATTGGCTGTTTGCATCCCAGCACTCGAGAACCGAAAGCCAAAACTCCCTAACCCCACTTGGCCCGTTTACTGCGTATGGGGCCTTGGACCTTTATGGCTCACGGCGCTTTGTTCCAGGTCTTTCTGGCTTGGGGCCACAGCCGTGGGTGCAGCCATAGGACGATGGATACCTTGTCAGTCATCCCAAACCTAAACCTCACCCGAAGGTCATCCTAAGTGACACAGAGGGACTTCTCACAATGCTATGAAACCAAAGAAAAGGCGACGGAGCACTTGTCCCGCAATCGCTGTAGAAACCCTGAGCCCTAATCACAGGACGCTAAACCTTTGAGTCCCGGACTCTGGATCCCAAGAAAGAGGCACTTCTCTCGAAGTCTCAGGCCCTGAAGCCTATAGGCTTGCTTGGAGTCTCGGAGAGTATAGAAGTCGGGGTGATGAAGAGTGCTTTCTCCTTGTGGTCTTTGTAGAATGCCAAAGTTTAATGCTGCCAAAACCCCTTTTTTTTGGCCAACGCGGCGCGAGACATCCCCTAAACCCGGAATGACAGGTTCCTGTTCGACTTGACCCTGGTCATCTTCATGGTGTAGCAGACCTGGCTGTTGGGTGGAAAAGGGTTCAAGGGTTTGGGGTCATCGAAAGGGTCTAGCCGTCTAGCCTGCGGGGTGATAGGGCTCAGTTGTCAAAGGGTTCATGTTTTATGGGTATTGGCAGTTGGGGTTGAGTTTTCATGTCGGGGTGAGGAGGTTGGTTCGTTCCTCGATAGTTTCAGCGGGTTTCTCAGAGGCTACCCTAGCCGCAGGGCCTGTGACGGTTAGATTCAGATTGAGGGCAGATTCAGATTGAGGGCATGTTGTGGCCTGCAGCCCTCCGTTGTGCAACTTTCAGATGCCTTTTAGCGAGCCGTGGGTGGTGGACTCTAGTCTAGGGTCTGATCAGCAATTTGGTTCTCCTCTACTGCAGGGCCTTATAGAAAGCAGGAGGCCTTGAACCGAACTTCGGTGTGTACGGGAGAGAGCAAGAAGAGCCTCCATTTGGGCCGGGAGGCTTCTGGGAGCTCATAACTTCCACAAGCACAACCAGGAAGGGCTCCTTGCTTTGTCTTTAAATTATGAGACCATTGAAAGTTGTACTCATCTTTGAGTTTTCCTTGGACCTCGCGTTCTCATCCGACCGCGTGAGGTTGGAGACCTGGGTGATCTCCCTCATCGATCTTGCCTCAGGCGGGACCGGGGAACGCATCTTCCCAAGCAAGGATCCCAGAGCTTACTGTCGGCATTGGGAGCCTTCTAGGGGTGTTGGCTTGAGGTGTCAGCGTCTTCCTATTGATTCTTGACGAGCCTTGGTGAATCGAAATCCCCACAGCCGTCCCCCCAATTCCGAGAGTACGTCCTGAAGTGGTAAATCCAAAAGATCATAGACCCCAAGCCACAATCCACAAACCCTAAGCCTTAGTCAACGCTACTTCTACATGCCTGACATTGCGCACAGTCGTTGAAAACCTTGGTTCCGGCATCCCTCAGGGATGCCGGCAACCGAGTCAGCAGCTCTCATATTCCAAACTCAGAGACCTGATTTTTTTCACGGAGGTGGCACCGGGGGCGGCGCTGGCATTCTCAACAACTTCAGCAGCCTCAGGCCGCTCCGGAAAGAGGGAAGCCTCTACTTAGCTTCAGGACCCCAGGTGTCGATCGAATTTCAGTGGTTTGAGGCTGACAGGTCTGATCGGCTCTATACGCCGCACAGAGAAGACATGCAGAGTCGCCGATGAGCTCGTGAGCAAGCCTGAGTGGTTTCGTGGTGGTGATTGATTAGAGCTTGGGCTTGACCGGCTCATGGACCGCGTAGCATCCTCCTTTTTACTTGTTGGGTCTGTTTTGAGTTCCTGCTTCTTGGGGAATCACGAAAGCTTCATAGCTTGTCTCCTAGTGCCCGGTCTACTGTGTTCGTCAGTTCTGCCATCTTAGTTTAAATCGTACGAATCAGATGATTCAGCATTCTGCAATATTACGCTTTGAGCCTCGCGTCAAGGCTACTCCGTCTGCTGCGCCTCACGCGCATGGCTCGCTTGATGCGCTGTCGGCTTAGAACCAGGGTTTTCCGGGTTTGGGGTCGAGGGAACAGAGATGGTCCCCCTGGAAGCCATTTGGGGCTATAGCGATTGTTGCTGGACTGGCTAGATTTTTGAGACAGTGCTTCCAGATTCCAGTCAAGCGACGGGTCCGAGCTGTTGCAGTAAACCCCGAGCTGATCGTATGTATATGTTTTTTTAGTATGTTATGTTTCTACACACACTCAATAATGAATTTTAGACAATTACGTAAATATGTTTAAAACAGCTATCTATCTTTTATATGTCTATCTTTCCATATATATATATATATATACAGAGAGAGAGAGAGAGAGAGAGAGAGAGTTATGTAACTAAATGTCTGAGGCTTTTTCCCAGAGCTGATGACGCTGGTGAAGCCGCGGGCTCAGTGATCCCGATGATCTGGAGCGGGGGGGGGGAGACTTTGGAAGGTCCTTCTGAGTTCTGATCTTCGAATTCGAAGGCTGAGTCGCCTTGTCTTTTGGGTCGATTTTCCAGTGCGGAGTTTTGCAGATTCGCGGGCTTACGGAGGGTAAGGGCTTGGAATTAGACTTGGGGTCAGCACAAGGTTATGCTCGGGCTTGGGGTCCCATGTGCGGAGAGGGAGGACGGCGGAGACAAAAAGCTTAAGCTGTAGCGCCGCATGCAGGCTCCAAGCATCTTATGCTGCGGACTTCCAGTGGAAGACACGGCCAATGTTCGTCTGCTTTCGACCTGCCATCATCGACTGCCACACCGGGGTATGACTTACTTACTTAGATCACCTTACACCAGTCAAAACTAAAGAGCCCATCATCTCCCCACCAATTCCGAAGTCGATGTGAGTGAAAGTCGCAGCTGGCAGGGGCATGGTTCGGGCCATGCAGTCGGTCGGCTTCATCCTCCTCTTCATGGTCGTCGTGACTTATGTCTTCGCGATCGTGTCGGGGGCCTCGAAGGTGACCTTGTTTTCGAGTTTGGGATAGGAGCACTAAGTCACTAAGCCCTCAGCCCGAAGACGAGCTCTGCCCTAAGCGCTAAAGGCTTGAGGTCAACCGGACTGTCGGTTCCGATCTAGTTCCCAACCGCTGTAATTCCTCCCCGAGCTTTCAGGATTTCGTCCGTGGCAGAGAGATTCGGGCACTTGTTTGGAACCCTTTTTTTGGGGGAGGGAGGAGGAGAGTTTATTTATTGCTCACGGCCTGCAGCCCAGCACGCTGACATCCTGATCCCTACCCGCATAAACCTTAAAATTCTAAACTTCCGGACTTTTGGATGCATAAATCGGAAGTAAAAGCGGCGGCTGCCTTCGATACACAACCGGGACATCAGACCGGATCCTACCTGGTAGCTTCAGTAATTTTGATTTGGAGTGGTTGCGGGTTCACAGGGGTTCAGGGTTTTCGAGGTCAGGTTAATGGTTGGAAGTTTAAGTGGTTGAGGGTGTTCATGGTTGTGGATCGAACGGGGCTGTGCGTGCTTTGAAAGCTTGCTCCCAGAGCTGGAGATAGTCGGCATCGGCACCCTGTTATTGCGGAACTGTGGTTTTCGCGCCCTGCTCCTCAGCGTTTATCAGGTTCACCACCCGATTCGGCACCATCGGCTTCTTCCCAAAGGCTGTCAACTGCTAGGGGTGGTAGCGGGTTCAGGCTACATAGAGTCAGCAACCCAGATTGTGTTCCCCTAGTGTCTTCATTCCAAAATGCTTGTTACAGGACATCTGCAGGATGTGGGATGTGTTAGGATAGCTTCATAGCATGGTGCATATCATGCCCGAACGGTGCTAGGATGTGCTTATATTTTTGAATCCCTTTGTAAGCAGCGCCGCAGCGATCTATCTCGCGGGTTAGAGCACCTGAGCCTGAGCATTCCGTAAGCTCCCAAACCAGCAAGGCAGACAAGTGTGGGGTTTCAGGATGTTGGAGACAAAAAGGCCTCTAGGATCCCCTAGGCAAGTCTTTTTGCAAGGCTCGCGT